ACTTAGGAACCACTGCTAGAGGCTCATGCTCCAGGAGTAGGGAAACTTACTAATATCACAAAGCCATTAGGTCTCACCATCATTAATTTTGAATGATAGACAAGGGAACATTTACATCAACATTTTGATAACACTAAATAGGGCAGAGTGGCTTGTATGTCTACATTTCAGAAATGACCTTGTCTAATAAGTTGAAGGCCATAGACAAAAGCCAAGTGACTTTGCAGAAAGATGGGCCTGTTTAAGCATTGCAGGAGAGCTCAGATGAGTCATCACATAAACACTGATGATGATGTCTTTCATCCTAAGCCTTCCCTAGTCTTGTCAAAATCCAAGAAAGGAGAGAAAATTGCCTGAGGGGCAGGTGGTGCCATTTGTTGCCTGCCCCTCCACCCCCTAGTCACCAAGGGCACTCCACAGAGCAGCTTCTGAGCTGTGACCAATATGCTTAGCCTTAAAGGAACAGAAGTGGTTAGGAGCAGAGAGAAAGAAAGAGAATGAGGAGCATGTGAGAAGGTTAAGAAAGGAAGAATGAATAGGCAAAGAAGGTCCTCAAAGAAGTTATAACAAGGAAGGAAATCCAAGGGAGAAGCCACAGATGCCAGCAACAGTGAAGGGAGACAGGGATGAAGAGAAAATGAGAGAAGCAACCACAGAAGAGGAAGCCGATGGATTTATAGCACAGACTGTAGAGCCAAATAGATCCAGGGTCACTCCACCAAGAAAACAATAAATCTTAAAGTTATGTGCACCAAAGAACAAAATAGCAAAATGTGTGCAACAAACACTGATAGAACTGAAAGGAAAAGTAGACAAATTCCTAAGAATGAGAACAAGGCATGGATGTCCACTTTTAACTACTTTTATTCAATATAATGTTGGAAGTTCTTGTCGGTGCAGTAAGTGAACACAAAAAAATGAAAGGCATACAGATTGGGGTAAAAATTGTCCATATTTGTAAATGACACAATTGTCTACATAGAAAACCCAAAGGAATCTGCAAAAGCAAAACAAAAACCTCTTAGAATTAATAATAGTTTAGCAGGGTTGCAAGATGCAAGATAAACATACATAAACAAATTCTATATCTATTTACTGGCCATAAACACATGCACATCAAAATTTAAAATATGATACTATTAAAAAATCACTCAAAACATTTAAATAGTTAGGTATAAACTCAACAAAACATGCATAAGACTTGTATGCTAAAAACTACATACTGCTGGTGAGAGAAGTCAAAGATCATCTAACTAAATGGAGAGGCATACCATGCTCATGAGCTGGAAGACAATAGAGTATATATGTCAGTTCTCCCCAAGTTAACATACAGATTTAAAGATTCAATGCAATTCCTGTGAAGATCCTAGAAACATTTTTTGTAATTATAGACAAGATTATTCAAATTTTATATGGAAATGCAAAGAAACTAAACTAGCTAAAGCAACTTTGAAAAAGAAGAATCGTGTGGGGGTGCCTGACTGGCTCAGTCAGGGAAACATGCAACTCTTGATCTTGGGGTTGTGAGTTTGAGACCCATGTTGGGTATAGACGTTACATAAAAATAAAATCTTAAAAAAAAAAAATCATCTGGGAAGAGGCAGTCTACTCACCTTCAAGGTCTATTTTATAGCTACTGCTATCAAGACCATGTGATATTGGCAGACAGAAGAGAGAAAGCAGCAATAGAGCCATATAATTATGTCAACTGATATGCACAAAGGTGCAAAAGCAATTCAATGGAGGAGAGATGGACTTTTTTTTTTTTGGAATATTATGCCCTTTATTCAGATTCCCCTCATGTTGCCATTTTGCCCCATTTTATCATTTGCTTCCTTTATGTTTTTTTTTAATTTTTTTTTATTTTATTTTTTATAAACATATAATATATTTTTATCCCCAGGGGTACAGGTCTGTGAATTGCCAGGTTTACACACTTCACAGCACTCAC